CCTTTTTTTCTTTTTTTCCTTTTTCCTGTTTATTTTCACTTTGTAGTGCTGTGCAGTGCAGCACAGATTTTATTTTATTTGGAATTTGGATCATGCCATTGCCTCTCCACAAAATTCCAAAACATTCGTCCAACTCAATTTTATTTGCTTCTTTTTTATTTGCTAAATTATGGATAATACTTTTCAATTTTGAGGGTAGTTAAAAAATATCAAAGTTTCAATTTTAACTTTACTTTTCAAATTGTTTCAAAAAAAAAAAAAAACTCTTCAAAGAATTTTTCTTTAGGAGTGAGGGAAAGTGACGTGGCTATGAGGTATAAATAAAGAAGAAGTTACATGATGTTGTAAAAATTGTTTGGAAAACAAAAAGTGGCCGTCTATGATTTTAGAAAACTCGAGTCGAAAAATGAATGGTTTTTTTTTATCAAATTGTAAACATTTTCTTTAGAATGGGAAAAATCTTCGAACACAAAGAATTAACGTTACACAAAACACTTTGAATTAACTAGGGTTGATATACCATGTTTAAAGTATTTCAATTGGGATGATTAAAATACAAGTCCATGAGCTCCTTTTATAGTAATTGGCACACATTAGTTTTCCGATGTGGGACAACTTCTAACACATGAAAACCATCCTTTTATTCTTCCAATTTCAATTGGGACAACTTCAATTCCAATATTTTGCCAAAACCCAACCGTTATTATAGATACTTTTTTAAACTGACTTCAAATTTTAAGGGTAATTTCCACAATTTAGCATTTCTTAATTATATATTTGTGCATATGGATATAAAATTTGGGTTTTTTTTTAAATATATCTTTAACAAAAGGTTTTTAAAAATACCATAATCTTCAAAATATTGTGAGTTTTATTATTTTAAAAATAACACTAATATAATAATATGTTTTCTAAAAAAATCGATAGTTTATTACGATTATACTATTAAGATGTCAAGAAATTTTAATTTTTAGTAGATTTAAGCTTGCAATTTTTTTAATCGGATCACTAATGTTTTGGTAATTAAACTAGGCTCAAATTGAAATTTTGTAAAATTTGTTATTAGTTATTTTTAAAATGAAAACTTAAAAAAAAATATTGGGGACTAAAAATTCATTACAATTTTAATATTAATAAGAAAATGATCACAAAATATACTATGTAGAATAAAGACCAGTAAGCCCAAGATCGGAAAAATCAAATCCACGGTTCAAAACATTTAAAATATTTAATGACGAAGATTCTTTTTTTCTTTTTTCTTTTTTTTTAAATGACCCCTGTGGCCGACCACCATCATACATTATGGGTCTTTTGGGTTTATTTTTAAAATCTAATTTCCGAATTAATTTTTAATGATATTCAGCTCATTTTTTCCAGTTCTCAAAATAAATTTATTTAAAATATTTTCTTAAGAAATTATCATTTAACACTTTTTCCAAAAAATCTCAGTAAAAACATCTCGCTGTCTCTTAGAATACTTCTTCATCAAGCATTTTGAATTATTCTAAAAAGTTTGAAATCAATTTTGAATGGATAATCAAATGCTATAATAAGTCATTTTTAAATTAATTAAAAATGCTTTTATTCTAAAAACACATGTCATAATCAAAATTCCACTAGAAAACTTAGTAATTATTGTTCTTATTTTATTATTAAGAATATAAACTCAGTAGTTATTATTGTGAGGTCATTGTTTTAATGATTTTTTCTCTCTAAAGATTAAGACAAGATCGAAAGTTTTGCCGGTCAGTTTTAACTATTATTTTTTTCAATTATCTTTTTGTGGATAGTTATTTGCATAAAATAAGTCTTAAATCGTGTTTTGATTTCTTTATTTAAAAAATCAAGTATCTTTGAAAAAAAAAATCATGTAATTCAAATCCAACAATAATTTATAATAGTAACTTTGACATTGGGAATGCTTGTCAACAGTAGGATGTCTGTTTAATAATAATATGTTTATTTTGAAAGATAATAATATTGTTCTTATAACAGTAATTTAATTTTCTTTATTGTTTTTTTTCCTTTTAATCTTATCAGAAAACTCACAGATCGTAATGCGTCATGGGCGGCTGAAATTTTGTTTTGTTTGTTATAAAATTTAAGACCAAATATTACCATATTTTCTTTATTGTTTTGTTTATTATTATTAGATGCATGATAAAATATATATAGACATACACAATACACTAGAGATAAAAAAAAAATACTAATTTTTTACCTTTTAAATAGAATAGAGGGTATTTGACGTGGAAAAAAAAAGATTTATTTTTCTTTTTGAGCCGAAGCAATTATTGAGATGGAGATTGAATCATGGATTTTGAGATGATAACAAGTGTCTTTTCCACCCAACTAAATTCGAAATTGACTATCTTTTTGCAACATCTCAAAATTCCACATATATATTTTTCTATTACTTTATCACTAATTATTAATGATTATTTTTGTAAATGTTAATTACATAAGAAATAAATTATGAAATAATAAATTTATTTATTTTTAAATTAAAAACGTATAGTTAACATTTATTATTCTTGTAGGAGGGTAAAAGTTTTCCATCATGCATATTAACTAGTCAATGAAACAATAATTAAGTCAACTTGAACATAATTCAATTAATTAAGATTATGCGAAATTAATTAAAGGGTGGAATTACCATGACATAGAGGGAAAAGAAACGTTTAAAGCGTTCCCGAATTCATCCAACTTGCATGATTTACTGTACAATTAATTAAAGTAAAAAACTATTATATGAATTGACCCATCTTAAGAACTTTTCCATACTTTCAAAACGGGCAAATCAAATTCTCAAAGTAATGATTCAATTGTTGATGGGCTACTTATCAGAAAAAAAAAAAGTTCGTTTTCCTGCCAAGTTTATTATAATTTCATTTGTTAAACAGCTCATAATTATAAGTTTGATTTTAGTAAATAACAGAAAAAGGGTTTCTGTGCGCACAATACAATGATGGCTGATTTCTATATTCAGATGAGTAGCTTTACAGCCACAGCGAGTGAAAAATAAATTTTGTTTTAAGTAATATTTTGATTTCGGGAACCTCTATTTATTATTAATTTAAAAAAGAAAAAACAGGATTTCAGTACCTTTATACTCATTCTCTTCATTTTAATCGTTATCATTAATATTTTATTGACCATTTAACGAATTATAGGACATATGCTTGAAGCCACAGGAACAAATTTATTTTTTATTAAATGATTAATAAATATTAATGATAACAGTTGAAAGAGTTTTCTAGGCACAATTTAAGAATTAAAATAGAATATTCGAAAGTTTAGAGATAAAAACATAATATTTAAAAGTTTTTAAATTTTAAATAATTTATAGAGGCACCCAGTTTTTTT